ACCATTGAACCCCTTTTTCGTAAAAGGAAATGGGACAACGGCAATGAATAACAACAAAAACAATAATGCAAAACAAGTACAACGAGAACGCCATCATCAAAACTCAACATTAATCATTCGTGAGAACTGCTTTGCACCAAACTGCATCGCACTAGACCTGCATCACAGAATGAATTACGACAAATTAAGTGTAAGAAATAATTACTTACACATCTAACAGAATGGTCAACAAGGCTCCAGTTTTTCAAAACAAAGTAGTTGAATACAAAACAGACTTCTTGTCGTTAAATAATATCAAGTTCTCTGACTGACAATCTAACTCGCTGCTTGCACCAATACTATCAAGCAAAGCAACATGAACAGCTCGCCAAAAACAAATTCGAAACAAGACACATGATAATTACAAGATTAGTACCACACATATATCACCAACCACTAGCAATATTGGAATAAAAAGAACCCAGACCCGCCAAGGCCACCGCGCCGTTGCTCATGACCCCCTGGTCGTCATAGAGAGGCGAGGACGGCACATGTGCATACCCAACCCCGGCCTGGTGGTATGATCCCGCCAAGGTATAGTTGCTCGAGAATGTGGGCTCAGATGACGCCGCATAGAGCATAGTGCCGGCGGCCATGGGGGAAGAATGCGGCGCTGAAGCAGCAGCAGCAGCAAAGCTCGGGCCGGCAAGGGTGCCCCAGTTCCAGCTGCCGCCGCCCACGGCCCATTCCGCGTCGGACACGGAGCTGCACACCGAGAGGCCAGGCGATGAGGCGTCGCTCTGGAAGCCGCCGACGTACCAGCCGTCTTCCTCGAGGGCGGACGGGTTGAACAGCACGTCCATCTCGTCCTCGGCGGGTTGGGGGTACTCGTATGCTCCGTTTGCGGAATGATCCAGGAGGGAGAACTCCGGCGCCGTGACTTGCACGGTGGGCACGGATCGAGGGGTCGAGGCTGTGATGGGCGCCACGGGCGTCTGGCCCGGGGCGGAGGAGGAAGAAGAAGAAGAAGAAGAACAAGAAGAAGAAGAAGAAGAACAAGAAGAAGAAGAAGAAGAAGAAGAAGAAGAAGAAGAAGAAGGGCCGGAAGCAGCCGCGTGGGAGCTGGCGACGTCGTGTCTGCGCTGCAGGATGCTGAACCTGTTCTTGGCGGAGAGCGAGGTGCGGTTGGGGAAGTTTGTGTTGACGATCTCGGTCCAGTTCCGTCCGTGTTGCGCAACCGTTTCGAGCAATTTGGCGTCCTGCGAGTATGGGAACTTATCAGTGGGGGTTTTCCCTTGCAATGCCACCCCTTCTTCGATGGCTAGTGCGTGATGTTCTTACCTCGTCCGATGTCCAGGGGCTCTTGTCGATGCGCGGGTCAAGACAGTCATACCAGCGCTTCCAGCACTGGTCTCCGTTGCGCGAGCTGACCACCTCGGCGATCTTGCTCCACCGCGTGCCGTGTATCTCTACGGCGTCCCGGAGCCGCTGGTCTTCCTCCCTTGTCCACGTTCCCTTCCGGATGGTGTGGGCTACGCTATAGTGCCATCGTTTCCTAGTTATATCACAGATATTACTATCTTGACACCAAATACTTTTGTATTCTAGAGGGCAAAGGCACATACCGGCAGTCCTTGTTGTTCCGCCCTGGCAGGTAGACCGCTACCTTGCGCCAGCTTATGGACCCATTCTGGGATGTCTCTGTCGAGGAGTTCTGTGTGAGCCAACTGCCAGGTAACCAGCCATATAGGCGTAACAAGGGACGGCTAACCTCTTGCTATGGCGTTGGAAAGCAGCCGGTCCTCCTCTGGTGTCCACACCTGTCGGGTTTTTTGGCCGGCCGCGGGGGAAGACCCGGCTGATGAAGAAGAGGATGGCGTGTGTGTTTTACTAGACATCGTGCCGGGCAGGTGGATTGTAACACACTATTACTGGCCTTGTTCAAGTGAACTATAGCTGTGGTAGTACTCCCGGAAGCATGAGGGTTATGGAGAATCTTTGGATCTGGCAGCCTTACCACCTTACTTATATCATCATGGGCAGCCCACACGCAACACCGAGATCTTCCCCCATCTGCTGGGATCTAGTACGATGGTTAGGTATGTCTCGGGTAACATACCTTAATCCGGGGCACAAGTGTAAAGCCTGCACTGAAACGCTGGAACCGCTGGCTGCCTGTGCCACTTCAGCCCTATGAGTGCACCCCCGTCCCCCCTTTCTCCACTTTTCTCTGACTCTGCCTCTCTCCATGAACCATCCTGATGTCAGAATGTGCTAGAGCGACGGTCACTATGGCGGGCATATAGAATAATCATCTGGCCTGCACGTCAAGTCGCCTCAGCCTTTTCGCAGGACCATCGTCGACGGCAGCTTGCAGTAGCGTTTGTTTCGCACATTACTTGCTTCCGAACTGCCACGACAATGGATTGGCGGGTTCGCGTCCAAACCCGCTCTGCTAGGTAGGCAAAAACGGTGCGACACGAAAGGCGCCCAGCAGCAGCCAGTTGCAGCGCCCAGGCGGCCAGGGCTCCCCCAGCACATTCACCCGACAGCTTTTCGGTCCTTCTTCTTCCCGTCTTTTCACACTGGCCAGCGGCCGCGCTCGCCGTGGGGGTGCGGACTTACCCGGAAAGGGCAGGCGGTTCATGCAGTGAAACAGAAGGAACCTGTCCGTACAGTTCATGTAACGCGAGCCGCATCAGGGCTGAGCTTGTCCTCTGATTACTCAAAGTCCTAGGTTGTAATAATGATAATTAGAGAAAGAGCGGTGGGGATGCAGTATGCCGGATCGCTACGAGACCAAGCCACTACCAAGCCACTCTTCTCGAGGTTGATAAAGATATCGCGTGGAAGCTACATGGTACTGATGCAGGGTTCTTCTTAATTTTGTGTAACGACTGCGTTACTTTTCCATATCTGTCTAAAAGCATGACGAGACGGCAAATGGTTTTGAGGTCTCGCGGCTGTCAACCGCAACACGGGTTACACACTGTTACACAAAAGACTATCCAGGCATGTACGGTTCCGCGGCTAAACAGCACGACAGGGACGGGCTCAGTCAAAGTAGCGCGGTATTAAGGAAGCCCCGAACAAGATATTATGAGAAAATAGAAGGAATTGGAATGACCTAGAGATCCAAGAATCTCCCCGATCTAGGCACGACCCTTCCAATATTTTCATTGGAGAGAACCCGAGGAGCCTGTAAGGTCACTGGCATGCTGTCGTTTGCTACCTATGCGTCACACTGGACTGATGCTACTAGAAGACGTGGATTACTCTACAGTCTGCCCACAGGCCCGGTTTCGAACTCGCCGAGAAATAAATGCGACCCAACTTGGTCCCATCGAACTGCCGATGCACCGCCGGATTCAAATGGAGGGGAAGACGAGAAGCAAAGGCCTTTCGCTTCGCCCGGTGTGTGCCACTATACAGCAAACGTGAGCAGCCACAGCGACAAATGACTGGATAGGCGCTTCGGCAACGAAAGACTCAAGTCACCCACCACCTAATTGGTACTATTGCGCATGGGATGGTAGAGAATATACCGGCACAGATAAGAGCGAACGTTTGCTGCACTGATTATTACCCGGCCATGCCAACGAGACGGGACCCAATAAAGTGCTTCCGTTCGTCCGGCTAAATTGGTGTCCTAACGTATTTGATAAGCGAGTGGATCGGACAAGCGAGTGGATCGATTTCGCACGCGACACAGCTCTCTACCTACAACATCAATTTCCTCCACCACACCAAGATGTCTTCAATTACAGCTGAGGCAAAAGTTGTTCTTGCACTTGAAGCTCTTAAAAACGACCCTACGTTAAGCCTCAAAGCTGCAGCGAGGCTCTACTCTGTGCCTTATGCTACCCTCCATCGCCGACGCGCTGGCCGACCTGCACGACGCGATACTCCAGCCAACTCACGCTGTCTGACGGATTTGGAAGAGAAGACTATAGTTCAGTATATTACTGAGCTATCTACGCGTGCATTCCCTCCTACATTGCGTAGTGTAGAAGATATGGCCAACCATCTACGACGCGAACGCGACGCGCCCCCTGTCGGCAAGCGCTGGGCACACAACTTCGTCATACGCCAGCCAGAGATCGATACGCGTCGTTCGCGTAGATACGACTACCAGAGGGCGAAGTGCGAGGATCCAAAGGTCATTAGCGAGTGGTTTGCCCTCGTACGGAATGTCAAGGCCAAGTACGGCATTGTGGATGACGATATCACCCCCCACAACCCCCGAGAAGCCAACTCACAGTCAACGCTTATCAAGACTCGGATTGCCAACCATCAAAACAGCTCCCCGACTTCCATGTTGGCTGCTGTGGACCAGCTTACTAAAGGTACGATGGCTGTGATGCATGAGGTGGCTCTCCTGCGCTCCGAGGTCTCTTCGCTTCGCAAGGCCAACGAGGCACTAAGCAAGCGCCGGAGAGCCAAAAAAACCCGTGTACGGCTTGGGGGATCACTTGCTATACAAGATGCACACGATCTATTGGACCAGAAGGCAGTGAGTGGAGAGGGAGTGCAAGAAATGCAGCCGGGTAGTGGTGGTGCAGGGGGGGGTCGTACGAAGGTTCGGTGCTGTGGTGTGTGCGGCAAGCCTGGCCATAATGCCCGCACTTGCCAGGAGGTTGGAGAATCATCTGATTCAGCTGTTTCTAATGTAATTATAGTTGGTTCTTAGTGTTGTTGTTTTGCAATGGAGGATAGTTGTAATAGGGTAGTTAAAATCGATCCACTCGCTTGTCCGATCCACTCGCTTATCAAATACGTTATTGCCAAGATTCCTTTAAAAATGAAAAAGGGGGGTGGGGGTTGTTGAGCGGAAAGGGGCAAAATAAACGTGCTGACATAACGAGGTCGGACAAGAATGCAGGAGAAAGAGAAAGAGAAAATAGCATGTGCAAGCAAAGTGATAACTTAGAGGTAGTAAAGTAACCTAAGTCAGCGAGCTACCGTGCAACGCAACAAAAGAAGAAGGCCAAGAGATCACAGCATATCTCGGTAAAAATATATGACAACTGAGAGATTCGAACTCTCGCCTCTTGCGAGAACGCAATGCTTATCCACTGAAGTGGGTAAAGGATTTCCTTGAGTGCGTCGCCTTAGACCACTCGGCCAAGTTGCCTGTTTGACCGGAGCCAATCAAGTTGTAGATGATGTGAGGAGTGGTACGCAGTCCCTTGTACCAGTGCTGCGCCATGACCGAAGTTTCATTGTTGCGTTTCGGTTGACGCTGAAGCCCACATTTGTGATGTGAATTCGCGGGATACGAGGAAACAGCCTCTTCTGGTCCTTTTCAAAGAACTCGAAACCTGGCTGTCGCGGAGGAGAAAAGAAAAAGACCTTATAGTTTTGCCGTGCTCGTGAAAGACGGTGGTCTCCAAGAAATCTGTGTAACGTGCAGTGCCCCTTTTCAGCTGACTGCCAAAACAACCTACCCCTGAAGCACCTCGAAGAAAAAGATTTGGCAAAGCGCAAAGAAGATTGGGTGTGTGCTGGGGCGGTGTGAAGAAAATTAAACACACATTGCAGATGCCCAACTGGATAATGATCAACAGTGTCGGGGTTTCCGACGCAGCTGCGCAGATTGTGCCGTATTGTACGGAGGGGATGTGTGGTTGGAAGATTCGGGTTGCAGCGGCCCTTTCCGGCGATCATAACCTCGACGTATCTTGACGTCATGGAAGTTTTCGGCCGGGGAGCGTCACCCAAATCCAAAAATACGAAGTCGCTCTCCCAGGGATATCAGTTTCGAAACAGGAGAAACTGTAGGATCAATCAGTACCGTCAATCAGCGTGTTCAACTTTTGTGCCAGAAAGATCCAAAGATGGCGACAGCAATCGTGCTTGGTGCAACAGGTGAATCATGCACCCAGGACATGCGCGTTTGACTGCCCGGCATTGCTACTTGCGCCAAGCTAACGGCAGGTATTGGGTAGGGATTCTTGGCCGTGAGATTGTGAAGGAGTTGGGACGGAAGCCAGACCAGTGGAAGACGGTGCATGCAGTCTCGCGGAGCAAGAAAGATGAATATCCGTCGAATGTAGTGCACCACCGCATTGACCTCACGAGCCCGGCGGAGGAGATGGCCAAGGAGCTGAAGGATGTCAAGGGTGACTACGTCTTCTTCGCCGCCTACCTGCAGAAGGATACAGAGCAGGAGAACTGGAAAGTTAATGGTGAGCACGCACATTTGTGCCCTGTCTCGCGGCGAAAGTCGACGCCATCAGTCTTACACAGGTGACAGGCGACATGCTTGAGAGCTTCCTCCAGGCTCTCGAGATAACCGGCGCCGTCCGCAGCATCCAGCGCTTCATTCTCGTCACCGGGGCCAAGCAGTACGGCGTACACCTCGGCCAGCCCAAGAACCCGCAGCTCGAGAGCGACCCTTGGCTGCGGGATACTCGGTGGCCGCCCAACTTCTACTACCGGCAGCAAGATATCCTGAAGGCCTTTTGCGCAAAGCACACCAGCGTCAGCTGGGTGGTCACGTACCCTAATGACGTGATTGGCTTTGCAACTGGCAACTTCATGAACCTGGTGTCAGGTCTGGGTATCTATGCCGCCGTGAGCAAGGAGATGGGTCAGGACCTAGTCTTTCCCGGCTCCGAGACGTTTTATACCAAGTTCGACAGCTTCACTTGCTCCAAGCTGCATGCCCAGTTCTGCGAATGGGCAGCGCTTGAGCCAAAGGCTGCGAACCAAGCATTCAACGTCGTCAACGGTGACGTTCAAAGCTGGCAGGATATGTGGCCACGAGTAGCCCGACGGTTCGGGATGAAGGTCAAGGCAGACCAGTTCGTGGGAGAGTCGGAGCTTGCGGACAGGACGACGCTCGACACGCCCCCACTGAGCCTTGTCGCCAACGAGATCGGTTTGGAGGGAAAGGTCTTGCCGAGCCGGGTGGAACAGAGAATTAGTCTGGTGAAATGGAGCCAAGCGGACGAGGTAAAGCAGGCATGGAGTCGGCTCGCGAAGAGGGAAGGGCTGCAGGAAGAGGCCATGGAGAAGGCGACGTGGGCGTTTTTGGATTTTGTTCTCGGACGGAGTTTCGACATTGTCATCAGCATGAGCAAGTCGAGGGAGATGGGATGGACCGGGTAAGCAACCAATCTCGATGGCACTGCACTACCCGATGACGATGCGGGAAAAAACGAGATGCTAACGAAGTGGTTGATTTGCCGCTGTGGACAGGTACTACGACACATGGCAGTCTCTTTCGGATGTTTTTGGGGAGTTGGAAGCTGCCAAGGTCTTGCCCAAAGCTTGACCAAGAACCTAATCCATCCGACCTAACCATCCGGATTGCCAAACGCAAATGGGCGATTGGGCCAGGCGTGAAGCGCAGGAGGCACCTTGGGCGTGGCAGGTGGGGGCAATTTGATGAGTGAGTGATGGGACGGAAGGAGCAACAGGAACGGAAGGCACCTGGGTCATGCACCACCTTTGGTACCAGGTCAGGTATTCCAGCGCAGTATGAACCCATTCATTCGTTTGGTCCGGTCCCCATGATCTATTTCATGAAACCTCGCCGGTCTCCCAACCCACCGCAGCCCCGCCAGTTCAAACAATCATCCCCCGTCACACAATCTCATCGCCCCTCCCCCCTGGCGGGAGCACAGTTGAGGGGTTCCAGGCTGCGATTAAAATGAAATTGCCCAGATCGCGCCCTCTTTTCCTGCCTTTCATGCCAGCGCACAGCATTCATTCCGTACATTGACTGGTTGCTCTGCATTTCGAGACCCCAGCCGACCGACATCCTACCCACCGCACCTAACCTGGAAACTCGGCCCCTCCCGTCCAAGAAATACACTGTATCGGCACTTCTCAACCTTGTTTTGCATTGCATTATCTTATCCCCAACTCAGATACCCTATCCAGAAAAGTCGAGCTTGACAGATCTGGACCTGCCGGGGAGTGATCAGCATGACCTTCAACTTCGATTCGTACCTTCCGTCCCTCTTTCCCGACTGCCACTACAGCACTGAGCAGCTGAAGGGTGGTCTGGTGAACATCACTGTCCGCGCCAGCAGGATCGATTCTCAGCCTTCCCCTGGACCAAATGGCCGAGCTGCTGTTTCTCTCCCCGTTGCCACCGAGCGGAAGGACTGCGCTTGTCCCCGCACCTTGATCCTGAAGTATGCCCCTCCGTTCATCGCTGCCATCGGAGAGAAGGCGCCCTGCTCCCAGACCCGACAGGTGAGTGTGTCTAGCCAGCCAGCCAGCGGACCACAAGACAAAAGGGCACGCCGTGGGCGGCTCCCGAAGCAAAACCAGAAGGACTAAAGCCAGACCAGATCATCGAGGCCACCGTGCTCGAGCTGTTCGGTCCTCAGGGACCGCTGGACCACCTAAACACGGCCGACCGCGTCCGTATCGCCCGCCTGATCAATCACGACCCCGTCAAGTCCGTGCTGGTGTTCGAGGATCTCGGACGTCTCATCACCCTTTGGGATCTCTTTTCTCCCGCCACGGTCTACCAGTCATCCCTCAACCCCATCATCATCAAACGGCACTGCACCAACATCGGCCACCGTTTGGGCTCCTTCTACGCCGACGTCCACAGCCCTGACTCGCTGAGCGCCGTCCGCGAGCGCATCTCCGAGTCCGACAACACCCGATTCCTCGACCGCACAGTCAACTCAGCCTTCAATTTCGCGGTCAAGCCGATCTTGGAGCGCCTGCAGAAGCCCGGCGGCCTGGATGCTACCACTGCAGAGAAGCTGTATGCACGCGTCCACGGCGACTTTGTGCGCGAGCCGTATCCGGGCGAGACCTGCCTGTCCATGGGCGACTTCCACCCTGGATCTGTGCTCGTCAACCCGCTGCGAGACTGGACCAACGCGGACAGCCAGGTGGAGGTAGGCGCCATCGACTGGGAGTTTGCGACTGTGCACAACGGTCGCGGCGCTAACGGCGACATGGCTCAGTTCCTTGCGTCATTCCATGCCCTGCTGTGGTACTTGCCTCTTGGAACCCTAACTCACGATATGGTGGGCTGGTTCGTCAAGGAGTTGTGCCAGACATATGCTACCCAGTCGGGCCTGGCCGAGAAGACGGGCAAGAGCAAGAGAGTCGCCACCAACCCGGCCATGGGCCTTCTCCGCTCAGCCATGATTCTATTCGGACGAGAGACGATCAACCAGGCCATAGACTTTGAGCGAGACAACGGTTCCCGCGTCCCGGTTGTCGAGATGGTCAAGGCTGGGGCTTGGTATCTGGAGCGCGCCGGCAATAGCGTGGAGGAGATGCTTGAGCCCGAGAACTGGGCCGAGCTGATGAAGGAGGAAATGGGAATCATGTTGCGGCTATTTGGCATTGAGGTACAGGGAGAGTAGCACCCCGCCATGTCTGCTGCTTAGCCAGCTATGGCAGGCCTCTACCAAAATAACATGAGAAAAGGAACACCGGGTCATGTTTGCTGATAGGGTTGGGAATGATACTCCGTAAGCTCATAGCAAGTAGACGGTAGACCTGTCGCTTTTTAGGAATGTTGACAGGCTCCCAGGTTGGTCCTTTTACACATTGCCGTACACCTCACTTGTTTCCCGGTCCAATGAACAGTCAGAAATACTGGTCCATACTGGATGAAAATCACAAGCCCTTGAATCTCGGCCGGAGCACAGCATATCTCTCGGCAGTGTTAAAAACGGGTATTATGATTAGTAATATATCAGCAAATCGTACTCTGCATGTAAAGTATATACAGAGAGAAAAGGTGATAGGTGGTTTGGTTTGTTGGGGGGTATCTTTTTTCCATCATCAAGGTGCATGCTGCGTGCGTGTGATCATCGTCATTGTAGAACAGCGAAGGACCAATCATGCGTGGCGTTGTGCGCCGTCTGCAGGCTGTTCTTCATCCAGCACCGATGTGCATTCCCCGAGTCGCCAAAGATGTAGCCCCAAGCACACCCTGTGCAGTCGTCGCGCGCTGCGCACGCATTCATGCACTCGTCCATGCTGCTGGTCACAACGTGCGCAATGTCGACGGCGCCGCCCACGCCACTGTAGTCAATGCCGCAGACGCGCAGGAAGGTCTTGGTGGAGGAAGGGACGGTGTAGACTGTCCCGTTGGAGCCCGGACAGTCCGAGTTGAGGGTGGCGCCCCCGGTTGGGACGGAAGAA